TAGGGACGGCCAGGCAGCACAACCCACGTCCCACCCCACCACCCCCCACCAGCCCTCAGAGTCCCCTGCTGACCCGGGCAATGAAGGACCAACTTGGGGCTGTTAGCACAAACTCAGCTCCACCGCAGCAAATTTCCCAAGGGCTGCTGGTCAAGAGCACATGTCTGCAGCAACTGCCCCACAGCAAGTCCTGAAGGGCAGCCCCCTGGCAATCGCACACACTGTGCAAAGCCAGGATTGGACCACACGGGTCAGCAGAGGCAGTGGCCCCTCAGCTGGGGTGCATGGGGCACCTACTTGGAGAAGATGACCATCAGCTTCCTGCGGCTCCTGCGCGGCTCCACATCCTCATCAAATCCATCCGTGTCCTTCCCCAGGAAGACCTCCTGGTGGAAGTCCTTGTTGAGGTGCCCGTCCATTTCCAGCTTCACCCCGTTCAGATGGTCTGGGGGCAGGATCTCACTCTCTTCCCTGTTGGCCACTCTCTCTCGAGTGGATGAGTGGTTAGCAGGTCGCGCAGATGCATCCATTAGAAGGACGACCCCCAGGAGCCAGAGGCAGTGCGGAGCCAGGCCACCAAGGGGAGCCTGCCTGGATGCCATCGCCACCCAGGTGCAAGCCGTGGGACAACCTGCAAGGTGTGTGCTGGTAGCTGGGGAGAGAGGAGAGGGCAGAGGAGAAAGTGTGGTCATGGCTCCAATCAAAGCCCCAGGCTCTGCAGAGGGCTCTGTGTCCCTGGGACAGCCGTAAGGGCCAAAAGCAATGTTGGCCACAGACTCCGGACCCAGAGAAGCAGTTAATGATCTACAAAGAAGACACAGACCCATTGAGTAGCGGGACCTAGCAAGTACTTAACTAAACATGTTTACTTTGTAACAGGAAACAGAAACCCTTGGTTTATAAAAGCCAAACCATGCAATACTTTTTTCCTTTTTTAAAGCTCTGGATTTCCAGCTCCCTCTCTCCTATTCAAAGCAGTCGCCACCTCAAGGGCCTGACCTGCCTCGCCCCAGTGCCCACAGTGCAGCCTCCCAGCACGGCCTGATTCTGCCGCTCCTGGCACTGACCTGTGGAGTTACGCTCACTTGATCTCCAGATCTCCACTCAAGCACTTGTGAGCCCTGTGACCTTGGCTAAGTAGCCTGACCACCCTGTCCTCAGTTTCTCACTAAGAAACAGGAAGCCCCCCACCTCCAACCCCGAGGCTTTTTGAGGACTGGGGACTCCAGTGCAGTGTGTGTGCAGGGCTGGTGTCAGCAAACACTCACACCCACCGCCCAGGAGGGCACCCGCCCCTCCCACCATGATGACCCCGCACACACCTGCACGCAGACATGCACACACACACACAGACACACACATACTTGCTCACACTCCCACCGGATCACCAGGAAGGCTGGAGTGCCCTGGGAAGCCTGTCTCGGCATCCTGGGGGCTCGCGCAGCCTCAAACCTCACATGTACCAAAGGGAGTTCTGGTCCTTTCCCGCTACTTCCTGTCGTCTGTCCGCCTGGCAAACACCTGCTGGTCTTCCAGGTGCAGCTGAAGCCCCACCTGTGTGTGTTGCGGCCATTCCCTGAATATACCTTGACCAAAACTCCTGTTCTGCGGCCCCATGGACCTTAACCACCCAGCGCCTACCATCTCACCTGCACACAGTGGGCACCGCACAGAGGTTGCCTCAGGGGGATCCCAGCCAGCACCTGGGGGGCGGCCTTGCAGGCGGACCAGGAGGAGCCCCGGCGTAGGGCGTACGCCCGGTTCTCCAGCACGGCTGAGGGCTTCTGTCCCTGCTGGGGTGTGATCCTCTCCCCGCCGTCCCAGGTCTGGGGACAGGCTGCGTAGACCCCTCGACAGCCCCTCCCGCCGCCGACTGCGCTAAGGCGGGTCGCGACCACGCGTCGTGCGCAGACAGACCGCATTCGCTCCTCGCGGGAGCGCACCGGCTCCACCTGCCCGGGAACCCCGTGGGACAGAACCTCGGGGAAGCTTCAGGCCAGAGGCGGCCGAAAGGGACCGCGCGAGCCCCGGGAGTCCTCCCAGGGAAACCCGCTCCGCGCTCCACAGCAGGGCTGATAGCGGCCGC